GGACTCAGACATGTATCCTCAATATATTCAGGGAATTTAGGAACATTCTACCTGGGTTGTCTGGATATTAAATAGAAATACAGCTATTTACTATGATAGTGCAATATAGATAACACAAAGGAAGGATTGTTCTGCTCTTAGGCCCCATTTACATGAAACCAGGACGAAGTCAAACTGGAAGGAAAATTGAAATTGTCAACATGTTTACATGAGATCAGTACAAAAATCACAAAATTTCCAATTTATTCCCCTTGTTAGGCAATTTTCTTGTTCAGATGGCTTTTGTTAGCATATGTTGTTCCAATATCAAGGTTACAGCCAAGACCGGTCTGAAATGTATTTGTGTTTACATTCATGCCGGTCTGAATTCATGCCAGTCTAAAGTCAATCGGCTTGATCCAGCCGGCAGAATGACTTGAGACTGGTCTGTCGAGTTATTTTCATCCTGGTCGCTTGTGAACATCTATTATAGATCATACTATGAGCAAAACAAAATGGTCCCGGTTTGACTTTGTTGTGGTCTCATGTAAACAGGGCCTAATACAAAGCCATAGAACTTGCTTTGGAAATTATACTGGCCTCTGTAGCTCAGTTGGTTAGAGCGCTGCACCGGAATTGCAGGGCCGTAGGTTCAATTCCTACCAGAGGACCTTGTGCTGCATTTTTCGCAGTCGTTCCTGGTTAGGTCTTAAAATGTATATATTCTCACTTGGATTATACACCCTTATTCTAAATCAATATTAATAGCCATTGAGTCAACATTGATATCCTCTCAATAGATCAATACATTAACAAATATAAATGTTTATATTGTTAACTTTAATGTATTGATCACTATTGAAAGGGTATCAATATTAACTCATTTAGTTAATATTTATCTAATCGCCAAAGCAAGTTCCATGGCTTTGTATGAGCGAACAATCCTTCCTTTGTGGGCCCTTGTAAATATAATTGTATATTTCATACCTTCTTGTAGCCTGTATATATCATGATTTCGACAGTTCGACTTGCTTAGAACACATACTATGACAGTATTTATTGCTTGAAATTATAACCTGTCAATACAAAGCAATATCACTAAGTTTTAATGTATTTTAATAACAATATATTGTTGAACCAAATACAAAATACAATGCGGCCGACGGCAATGGCGGTTAAAATATACATGAATATATTGCTATTTATGGCACATATTTACACACGAAACTTAAAAATATTGACATAGTTGAGCACTTACATTTACAATTATTGTCTGAATCTTCAAACAATGGAGAATTTCTTCTTATTTTCTACTATAATTTAAGAAATCTTGGCTTTATCAACCGACGTTAAATTAAAATTTCCAAGCGACGCGCTAGAAATGTGCTCGCTAAGCCTTCTGGGAGGCCCTTCTGAAGGCACTGATCTCAATCATGTGAGCAATCCAGTGCAAATAAACCTGCATTTCTAAGGTTTTTTTGACAGAGACTCTTAACTTTAAAATTCTAGCTGTCTTGTTATATCTCCCTTGCATGAACATATTTTGTCATCACCACACAATTTCTTTTCACTGCATATTTTTACTGTTTATCACTGCACACTTTCCTGACATCACTAACACCAAAATGACAGATTGCTTAGATGATTTTTTATTAGTTTTTCAATGAGGCCCTACAAGGATTACATTAAAGGCGATAATATGTAAAAATATGATCCTTTGCCCCATTTACTTGTCTGAAAAACGTAAACCGCTCCTACGTGGTCCGCCACTTTGAATCTGAAAACCGGTTCACGAGGTGCTATTTTGACACCCTAAGTTTAACTCTCAAAACGGTGCTACTTTAACACTTTCACTCAATAGAATGGGTGTTATTTTAACACCCTAGAAAAGTGTTAAATATCTATGGTGCTAATTTAGCACTTCAAAATCAATTCCCAACTTCATGGTGTTAATTCAGCACCCAAATTGGTGTTAGATTAACACTTTTTATTTAACACCACCACAAGGTGTCATTTTAACACCTACGAAGGTGCTATTTTAACACCTTCAAATTAACAGTGTGGTATTTTATTGTACCTGCATTAGCACGATGTACGCCACAATAGCTTAAAAATTCACGAATGCCAGTGGGGACAGTTGGGTGTTTCTCGCTCAGGTATGCCAGATGTTCAATACAAAATGCCTTTCCGTGTTTCGGCGAATTTGTGCACACATTTGGATAATTTAAAAGTGGAAGTCCGCGAACAAAGTTCTAGTGCCAAAAAGAGCAACAATATAATTATATAAACCGTGCATGGCTTCTATGATTTGATATGATCTGTAGTTAATTTCTAAAGGACTATATATATTATCAAACAATTATACCATTCGTCGTATACGAGCTGATATTGAGGCACACTGGCATGACATGAAATACATACTCGTGACTCATCGGCTATCAACTCATATACGACTCGAGCTCATGGTATAATTGTTAAATATACGGCGGATACTGTATGAAATATTTTTGACAGCTATACATCGCGGGCAATTGCCAAGAAATGATATATATTGACTTATTGCTGATACCTTCCTTTGCATCATGCAATGTGCAAACATAAGTTTCCACTGCCCATCGACAACCCATAGCCTTCCACAACCTGCAGATATATATTTAATTCAGTGTATAATAAAACACAAATGTCAAAGCAATATTAAATGCTAAGCCAACTGCATGGGTTGTTATTTTTTCCGAATCAGTGTTAGTTTATACACAAGCTACAAAATTCTATACAGAGAGTATATATGCCGTACAAATTACAATATACAATATAAGTAGCTAATATACATGTAATATATTGTTATATATATAATGCTAACCTCTAGTCTTGCATCCTTCTGAACAATCTTCCTGTGAATGTTTATATACAGATTTAGCTCTGTTTTTGTCTACTTCTTCCATAATTTTTTCGCGATCATCATCTTTCTTCATCAATCCAAAAAAGTCTAAAGTGCCACTCTCCCTTAGCTCTTCCTCAAGTTCGCCGTTCCAAAACGCAGCCGCACATTGTTTCTCTCCAAAACCTACAGAGTCAGAAGGCGGTTGTGAAGCCAAAGAAGATATTAAAAACAAACAGCGTAAGTATATGCCGGGGAACTATATAAGGACATTAAAACTGCTAACAAACTAAAATGACTCGCTATTGACATTAAACTCATTAAAAAGAAGTTATGAGCACGAAACCTTTAGAGTAATTCTGCTGATAAATAGAAGCAGTAAAATAGGTCAGAGCGGGCAGGATACATTATTAAATCGGCCGTTCACTTTCTGGTCCAGATAAAAACTGATACCGCATTCAGTCAAAGGTGTCGCAATACACATGCACACAGTGTTGTAATAGGCCGGTCTATATTCTAATAATATAGGCTGTGCGAGCCTTAAGCATGCAACAGAAACTGAATATGCTAAAATATTAATATACTATCAATTAAGCATTATATAGGCACTACAGCCATTGGAGCAAACGTAATATATGCACGATTATATATACCTTCGTCTTTGGACCCAAGCTGATCAAATACTTCATTAAATGCTGTGGAAAACCCAGAAAAGCTCACCCAACTATGATTTCTATTTTAATTGAGGCACCGTAGAAAAAAAAAGAACTAAAGTTACAAACAAGTATCATTTCCACGAGTAAGAAATTACTGAAGTTTCAAACATGCAATAACATGCCATGTTATCATTCACAGCCGGTATTGATGCAAAAAAAATTGTGGATGCAGTCAGTATTCATGCAAAACTGAAAATCATAACCCATATTAAACTTACACTAAAGATATTTGCCATTTTAGTAGCGATCTCTCCACAAGACACACACCAGATGCTTCTACTGACGTTCTGGCTTCAGGATACAATTTCCATCCAGTTTCAGGGTTGCCATACTTTGAATAACCATAAAACATTTTGCACCGACTACACTTTAAGGATACTTTAATTCCTTCACTTGTACCATAATGATGATGGTACTGGACTTTTACTGGGTCATTATGACGGACTAACGACAAATTGCAATCAAGACAGTGTCCGTATGGCGGTGCAAATACATGAACTAGACTGGTATTTGAAGAATTTACCAGATTCGGCAGGTTCACCTTTCTCATGCATTTGAAAAGTGTTTCGGCGTCATTTCCAGATATATGTGGATGCAACAACTTCAAAACTTCCCCACGTATTTTTATAGGCAGTACACATAACGATGGGACAATATTAGCAAAAGCACAAACAGTGTTGAGACTGAATTTAACAAGTACAGCGCAAAAAATGATTTGTGCCGAAATGTAGTCTACCAAATTCAGATCAATAGCTCTAATATCACTTAACAATTTGTTATCAATTGCCTCTTGATCTATTTCTTGGTCTACTTCTTCTCGTAGACTTTCCACTGAAAAAGCTACTCGTTTAGAACGTTGTGACATCGCGTGTATATGTATCTAATCTGGCGAACGTTTTATTGAGCACCAACTGTGCAACAGTCAATGTAAAAACGTTTGTGGGGGGAGATTGGTCGGTTTCGGATACACTCTCATAATCAATTATATCGGATAAACTATTTCTAATTACCCCGAAGGGCAAATGCCAAAAGCAGCACGTCAAAGGCCGAAAAGTTAATCCACATCCTTCGCCATGGAAATACAATTTTCAACTTGGTTATATGCCGGAAAGCGTGGTCTACTCTGATAAGGATACTTAAATCTGTCAAAGCCCATATTGAGGAATTCGCTAGATGGGCAGGTTTGTTTGGACAACTCAAGTACGCTTCAACACACAAGTAAACTCAGTAAACTGATTTCGCAGACATGTGCAATTCTTGTTTCAAATAAAACACAATCAAGCGCATCAACCCGTAATGTAATTAATCAACTGGTGAGAATCCGAAGCTGCAATGTCATGCATGGACAATGTCAATGATCATTTTTACACTGATACTAGTTGTAGAGAAATACACGCAAAAAGGTCAGGACATATTAAAATATTAATAAAGGAATGCCGAGCAGACACACAACTGCAGTATAGCGACGCAATGTTTCGAAATCACCAAATTGCTCAAGCAAAAATTCAAAAGTATGTTCGCAAGTTTTCGTTACAAAACATCTTAATTTACAATAGAATTAATAATTATACGAGCATATAATTCAAAATTAATTCTTACGAGCAACATATAGACACGCAAATTATGTTTTAAAATCGGAAAATTACTGAAACAAATTCAATAGTATATTCGTAATTTTTCGTTGCCATGCAAACATTCTAACATATTTACCTAACATCTTGATTTACAGTATAATTAAGTGTTATTTCCAAAGAAACAGGGCTTTATATACGAGCGAAATTATGCCGGCCGCGGCCTAAACAAGTTGCGAACAGTGCGTTTATACGGTATTAATTGTTGAAAATTATATTTGTTGAAAATTATACGTGCTAGTCGCAAGCATTCGTATAAACGACTCAAAATTCAACAAACTATACGTATCGCTGTCGCAATTAATCATTAAAATACGCTTAGTGATCAATGTATATATACGCGCGGTACGAGTTAAAATAATCCGCGGCCTAAATAAGTCGCGAAGATCGTATAAACGCGGCTAATTCATTCATTAGGTACATTATTTAAGTTTAACAACACAGAGTCAGAGTATCCTTGATTCAGCAACCTACTTTATAATATACGATATTATAAATAGTGAGACAACTTTTAACGATACCATTCACACTATATACCTACTTTATATTTATACAATACTAAATTTCCGACTTCCAAACATGCAGGAATACCCTTGTTGTTTGCAACTATCGTCAGTATCGTGCATTGGTATCGTATTGCATGTCTAATTATTGCATAAGATTTAGTGTGACCATGTGACCCCGTGTGACCGGTCACAGTAACATAGCCTCTTTTGCCATTGCATATATCGAGCATCAGATGTAATATAAATACAGTACGAGCAGGAATAAGGCAAATATACGAGAACCTCTGGCAACCATGCAGGGTAGGAAGGCTTAAACTCTTTATGAACCTACCATTCAAACTACAGTCGGTTATCTTTCTTCAATCTTTATTCAACTCGTCATTCATTACCCAAATAGGGAGCAAATTTCGGTTATTTAGCAGAGCATAAAGGAACATGTCTGTTCACCACGACGTTATAGCACTCTATCACAAAATAAATAATAAGACCAGAAGTCTCACTCGATGTCGGAATCTTTGATGTTGATGTCCCCGCGCATGTCGCCTCGCGCATCTTGGCCGTGTCTCGTTTCCAGTGCCCTAAACAAGTGTAATTTGACAAATTTACATGTAAACATTAAGGAGTGAGGAAGTTAAAACGATACCAATCGAGTTTTAGAGCTTTGGTGACCATTTTAAAAGAATATATGATAAATTCAAAGGTAAGTCTATCGTATTGCATTGTCTTAAATGAATTCTCAGCTAAAATACGGCAATAAATGGATCATAAACTTAGCTAAATTTACTGTTGACAACGAGGTTGACAGATCCATTGCTTTTTTGCCTTGAATAGCTTTACCATAGTCATTTTACCTTAAAATGTAGCTACCGAGGATATCTCTAAGAGATTTTACACAGATTATTTGCAAAATCTCACGATTTAATCATGCTGATAACATGAAAATCCTTGTGCCATTCTATACTTGGCATAATCTCTACATCAATAGTTCACCAGTTCACTAATATAAATTCAATATATTTTTGAACCAGTCCATATATTATTATACACAATGTAGTATAGTTAATTTGACCATATTTGAGAAGTAAGGGTGTATTTCATTACACAGACACTGCTGAATTTTAGGTTACATGCCATTGGATTGATATATAAAAAACACTTGTAAAACACACATTATCTTAAGTTCTTTGTATGTTTGCATGGTGATAAAATATAATAGGTTTTGTTTGTGGAAACACCATGTAAATTTATTACCGCAAAGCTTTCGATCCGTAAGCCCGGATCTTCATCAGTGCTAATAATATGTTATTATTAGCACTGATGAAGATCCGGGCTTACAGATCGAAAGCTTTGCAGTAATAAATTTACGTGGTGTTTCCACAAACAAAACCTATTACACATTATCTTGTTGATAGAATAGTTATTTGCAGTATACTAACTGTTGGCATACTCTATTTCAGGACTATCAATTGTTTTTGTCACTGGCAGTCTTTGAAATACAATCTTGCTCTGTGGCCTTTACTGACAAGTTGGCTTTTACTACATATGTGGCACTGACACTTCTTTAATTAATGCACCAGTCAGTGTAAACCCCCCAACCAGGGAGGGGCAGGGATTTTGACTTGGAGGGGTAGTAAAAAAGCGAAATTGTCCCCGCCCCCAGGGACGTCAATGTCCCCTGCATGTCTCTTAACCCCAGGAAAATAGTTTTGTATAATCATAGAATAGAATAGATCAGCAATAGAAAATCAAATTCATTTATGTTGTTGTATTTAAACTTTTCTTGTCAAGAAAACTAAAACAGCAACACAGGATATATATGTTAACCACTGTCCAAGTCTCCCATCATCGGGGACAAATTTATAATCAAAACTGACCACTTTCCCCGTTAAACCTTCCACCCCTCCCCGGTTGGGGGCAGGGATTTACATTGACTGGTGCATAACTAGATGATTGCATGAAGCATTGCATGGAAGTTGATTTATAATTAGTTTATGAATAAACTCACACTTTCATTATAATGGTTGATCAAATATATCATATGCATTTGATTGGTTGATGGTCCCTTAATGGTAATGGTGGTCAAATCTGAACCTATATAATGTCAATATGATTTGAACCTATATAATGTCAATATACTGGAAAAGTATCAAATTAAATTTTAATTGTCAATGTTGTGGAAAGTAAATAAATCAAACAATTCTGTTTGTTTCAACTAACTAGTTCACTATCACTTTGGTTTTCAAATCAAAGAATCTTTAATTAACCTGGTTGAGCTTTTGAAAAAGTAGCTGATTGATTGAACGCAAGATTATTTTACTCTGTCTAACGCCAGACAATTTCACTCGTCAAGGGGAAAGTGCTGCCACTCAGTGAACTCAATCAGAGCTCAATGAGCAGCAGCACTCTCCCTCGATAAGTAAAATCATCTGGCATTAGATGAAGTGAAATAAACTAGTAAAGTAGGGTGCACTGGGGCACAATGCAGCTTACTGGGTTAACTGGAAAATATATTTATTAAACAATATACACCCTATACTTGTATTTCAATTCACAGCATGATTTAGTATGCTTATGTCTATTTGACCCAAGTACCTGACAGGAATGATATTTGAATCACACCTGTATTCATTCAACAAAGCTAATTTAAATGTACATTAATTGTACATGAACCATGTAAATGTAAAAACTAGCTAGAGCCAGATGATATTGCTTTAAAGAAACTTGCAGCTTTTAGCAGTTGTGTAAGGGCCTGTTTATATCGAAACTGGCTGGCCCGCTAAGTGAGACAGCCCGGTAAGGGACCGGTCATTTATTAGAGGGGGGGGGGGCTGGTGGATTTTCATTTTCCTCAACATAATTTCATGTGGCCCTGCTCCTGTCACTGCATAAAATAATGTGGCCCCCCAAGGGAGTGCACATGAAATGGCATGGCCCACCCTCAGTTACAATATTTATTAATTTTTTTCCGGAACAATAATAAGCGACCTCCCCCCAAACATTGCAAAATTTACATTATTTCCCGCAAAATTCGCAGAATCTATCCCATTTATTTTTATAATAACCCAATATTGCACGACTGTGAAGAGAATATTGCTCAACTCGCTTGGTTTGCCAAGACCAGCGGGCAGGCCCGGTTGCCAAGACCAGGATGGAAATTTCTCCACATAAACAATCATAAGCAGGCTAGCCCGGTTGCCGGGATGAAAGTTCAAAGATACTGCCGCAAGCTATTTTTAACAACTGTCAAAATAATGTCAAAACAACAAAATTGTCCCGGTTAGCGGAATGAAATTTTCTCAAATAAACACAAGAGAAATCATCCTGCTTACCTACCTTACCGGGCTCTCTTGCTAAGCGGGCCAGCCCGGCTTCCATACAAACAGGCCCTAACAGTCTCTGTCAGGCAATTACAATGTTCTAATGTCCAAACTCTAAAGTATTATAAACAAGCAGAACAGACCACTTATTGCAAGTTGCTGGTATTAAGTCATATCAACATGTGATCTCAACAACATACAGTGTATAAACTAAAGTAATTCAGCTTCTACACATGAAGCAACTTTAAACACTATCCTTACACTTTATCAATTCATTGAAGTTTGTACTTAAAAGACATTTTATTTGTAGTATTAAATCATAAGACATATTCTATTTGTAGTATCAAGTCACATCAGGATTTTATAATCTAGCGTCTTTGGACCCAAGTGATCTAGAGTTCTATCTTGTTAAAACCTATCCAAGGAAAAACAAGAAAGGGATATTGAAGTAATGGTGTTTTTGAGCCAAATAAATTAGAATATCCACAAGTATAAAAGCAGAACTCCGTATATACCGGAGACAAAATGGCATCATAGCGAACACATTTTAATGATGCTCAAATTTATATTCAGTGCGCTATATTTTTAAAAATATGACTCTGTTTGCTTTCTAAATACAACAAAATTACTGCTTTACCTTCTGTTCAAATAGTTCCACAGATAAATCGAAGTCACAATCGTACTACTTGAAAAAAAAGCTGTTTTTACTGTAGAAATGACAACTTCCCAATATAATTTTCTATTGTCAACACTGCATTACACTTGTTTAGCTCGCGCATGCGCAGTATAAAAGATGGGACATGTTTCCGCTTGAGTAAGACTTCTGGTCCTATTATCTATTCTGTGCTATTATTCAGCAGGCCTTTCGTCGCCTTCCGTTCTTCCCTGATCTCAAATTTCACGCCCGCAAATTATTCCCGCCCGCATCGAAAGGCCTGCGGAGGAGGTAGACATATATATAAAGATATTTAAGAGCCGAAGCCGAGTATATTTAGAACTGATAAAATTACGCACTGTCAATGTTTTAAATTTATTGCAAGTCATTTGTGTTAGAAATGTACTAGAAATTTCACATTTTTTAACTGTAATAGAGTTTAATACAAAATTCGAAGAAAAACGTGTCGGCAGGAGCCCACAAGAAATTTTAACGTGGCCAACATACAGAAACGTACTTACTAGTCTTCAGGGCACAATATGAAGGCAAAATGGAATTGTCCCACGATATAGTAAGTTTTCCATAATTTTGGGCCTCTATCTGCCTGACTAATACAATTATACTTTATCTCATCGGATATATCCATACAATTATAGTTCATCGGGCGAATTTTGAAAATATTTGAGTGTCTCAGATTGAAAAGTAATAGTGGTAGGAGAAATTTTGATAAACGTACGAAAATATTACTGAAAAATTTTACAAATTACAGTAAATTATTTCGACAGTTAGTAAAAAATGCTACGTACGGAAATTTTTACCTCCCCCCTTTCACCAACAATTTTGAGAAAATAAGTATTATGATTTTTTTCTGTGTTGGTGTAATTGATCAGGTGAATAAGATGCTTGTGATGTTACTCTGAGTGTATATCCACACCGGGCAAGCTTGAAAAATATGCCTGACGACGGTGGGAATCGAACCTACGACCTTTGAAATACTAGCCCAATGCTCGGCAACTGAGCTACGCGGTCAGGTCAGTTCGAGTAAGTGATATTTCGGAACAGAATCTAGTTCCTTCGATATCATTGTAATCTAGTAATCATGATTTTTACTGTGCTGGTGTAATGTACTCAAGTGAATATGATGCTCATGATGTTACTCTGAGTGTATATCCACACCGCGGGCAAGCTTGAAATATATGCCTGTACGTCCACGGTGGGAATCGAACTCGGACCGATCTGACCGCGTAGCTCAGTTGGAATAGTATTGGGCTGGTATTCCATAGGTCGTAGGTTCGATTCCCACCGTGGACAGGCATATATTTCAAGCTTGCCCGGTATGGTGTATTATATAGAGGACAGTTTTCTAAAAGGTAGTATATTCAATTTATTTTAATTTAATTTAGATCAATTTATTGGACCATGTCCAAGCGGTAGAGTGCGAACGGGACTCAAAGTCCCATGCGAGGCACTCCTCCGTTACAAACTGTAAAGATTTCTTAAATATTTACATTAATAATAGCTATGAAAAAACATATGCCAATTACTTGAGCGCCAACTAATTCTTAAAACCGCACGCAACTGACAGTAATGGTGCTTGAAAAAGGGTACAGTACGTTTACACACAAACGATCAGTCGGCCGATTTCAGGTATTGCCGAATGTTAAAATGACAAACGCTATATCAGTTGACAACACAGAGTAGACAGATATACAGAACTACAACTAGAGCACACACCTTTTTGTGCGCGTTCTCGGCAAGTTACTAGATGCAAAATTAAATTAAATTCATTCATTTAGTAATTATATAACCAAAAATAAAATAAGAAGGTACACAATCATTGCAAATATCAAACATATATACAATTGACTGAACATTCCTCATGCAGTCCCATGTCAACCCATGAGTTTAATTAATCATTTTTAGTTTTTCGATGAGTTATGCCATGCATCAGTCCATCATACCTATACTTCCATATAACTAATTCTTACAATAAATATGAGAACCCAACATATAACTTTTAACAAAGCCATTAAAACAGTTAAGATTTTAAAGAATTTTTATTGTAACGTTTCTTAATTTTTATTGTAACCCTCTCTTAACGTCCAGGGCAGCTCTATTCCGATTAACCTGCTGTAATTTGCCGCGTTGTCTGGTATCTGTTTTGTTTCCTGATTTGTATCGTGATCTTGTCATACATACATCCTCTTATCCTTTATTATCCTTAGTAGCATAACACCTTGTAAATAGATTATACTAAATTAGCTTATATATATATATATATATATTCAAATATCTAGTCCGAAGATGTCTTAAGTCAAAGACGAAACGTTACAATAAAAATTCTTTAAAATCTTAACCATTTTTTAAAATGGCTTTGTTAAAAGTTATATGTTGGGCTCTCATATTTATTATAAGAATTCGTTTTCCGCCTGGCAAATCTCTGGCAACAATACATATAACTACGGTTCTGAATTCCTTGGGCTTGGAAAGGTGATGTGGTTTTCCAATAAAATGTAAGTACGCAGATATAGTGAGAGTCCCGCGTGTATCTACGTGGTATACTTGCCTGAAAAAACAAAGGAGATTGGCGTACCTGCGGTGGAGCGCGTGGATTTTGCTTATCCATCCATACTATACAAGTTGAAATTGAAAATTTAAGTCTTAAGTGTTAGTTTTCCCGCCAAGAATGGCGTGGCTCCATCATACTCAAATTCCTCCTGCCGCGGAGGGAATCTTCCGATCAGAAAAGTTTCCAATAAGAAAAGATGGTTCCTATTTAACAAAACGTTAAAAAACGTCATTCTATATTATAATATTTTTAATCTACCACATTGATTAAATCGTCTGGCTATTTAGGACATTAATTACTTGCCCAACAAAATTGTATTAACATAAAATATGAGGTTTATCCCATAACCCTCCTGTAGTTTCGTCCCTGCTTGCATGCAGGGTGCAGAATAATACAGGGTCCGACAACCGCGCGATTGGAGAGTCCTATATATTGTCTAAGCTTTCGTCCCTCTCGATCTACTGAAATGGTTCTGCGTACGTTGAATCAACATTATTAATGTTGATATTATCAGTCCCTTCATATACAGGATTTATTCCATCCCACAGTTCATTTGCTGGTTCATAGAGAACATTATCCGTCGTGCTGTGCATCTCTGTTTCCTCAGGGTCGTGTTCATACCCTGCATTTTCTCCCGAGTCATAGATTGGGTTTGTGCTTGCTTTTGATGTAACACCAGATCCAGGTGACGTTTTTGATAAAGATGTTGGTGTATGACTCTTGGATCTAAAATAGCACATGATCGATGAACATAATTTCAAACATGCATCATTAATAATTCAAAACGCTTATTGACAAATCATGTCAACCATAATATGTCACGTGAAGAGGCTTTATACCTGATACAACTCACCTTTATTAGTATTCTTTATATATAAAAGTTCATCCTAATTCGTGATTCTTTATAATAATTATTATAATCTATTGTAGTCGTGTTTGAAGCTATTCAAAACACTTGTATAGTGGTGTTTTATCATATCTAACTAGTGCATGCTCGTGGATCGAGTGCTGCGCACTCGCATTTTAAATATGATAAAAAACTCCTATACGCGTGTTTTAAATGGTAAATTATACCATGATTATATAAATTTTCTGTCTGAAAACGAGCTTTAGTGTCCGTTGGTCGTATGAGAAACAACCGTATATTATTATATACTTATCATAAATATAGAGAGATCTGTTAGGAGAGGTTCAGGATCTACTGTATATAGTCTTTCATTCTGCATACCTTTCAGAATCTTGATTTTGCTTTTGAACCGCTTGTGTAGCAACATTTTTTTCTTTGTTATGTCTTCAAAAAGAAACGTATTCAATTTAATAATTTTATTTTCAGTATTGTCTTCATCTTTGATCCCACTAACTTTCAATGACCAACCATCTACCTTTTTGGGATGCCGCGCCGATGGTGAAGGCATGTGTGCGCAATAAATCCCTTGAAAGACGTAGGGGAAAAAAGCATATAAAATATAAACTTTTCGACGTATCGAGCAAAGACCCTATAACCCTCCTCACGAAGGGCTTTTGCTCGAAACGTCAAAAAGTACATTTTTTCTGCTAAATGAGTGGCTGTCGAGACATTTTCCACAAGGTACACATTGATCCAACACCGCGCGGCCAATTATACGCTGGACACCCACAGTTTCTCAGGTTTTAGATATAATATGTCATTTTTTTTTATAAACGCCATCTCTCGACAGTGAAGCAACTATACTCAGCAGTTTCATGAGGGCGGTATATAATGGCTGTTTTTGTGATCGCGCGTGATATATTTGGTTGCGGAGAAACGCGAAATCCTTTACTTAAACTCTATTTTGCGTTAAAACAGGTAGAAAGAGAATATTCTGCGTTAAACATGGTGGTAAAACGCGAATTGTGAAATGATCTGATTTATTTTTCGTGAAACTTTGCTAAATAGTCTCACTTTACCAGCATCCTGTTTATAATAGAATTATACGAACCTTCTCCAATAAAATATTGCTCCCACAACTCCCAGAAGTATCAATATTACAAGGATTGGCAATATTATTGATAAATAAATAGCTGAAATTTCATTTTTGGCGTTTTGTAACTCCTCCTTTCTTCCACCATAGAAAGCAGTATTTGTTGACTTTGTGAACATCATTGTTCTGGAAAACGTTTCTCCACCAGGGATAATATTATTTTTTGCGGAATTTGTGAACGGAATTGTTCTAGAGGACTTTGTCGTCGTTGCTAAAATTCAAGTTTTAATATAATTTGGAAAATACAGAACATACAGAAATTTAAGTTTTGATATCATTTGGAAATTTTGGAAATGGTTAAAGTACACAACACACTAAATTTTCTCCCAATTTTTAGGCATCACAAAAAGAGTGACCTAAACAATTTATTGCCAGCTCATCTCGTTCCTAAGTTATTGGGCATTTTGTATTTTGTGTTATGACGTCACTGGTTGAGCGCAAGATGCTGGCAAAACTAATTAACTATGGTGTAATAGAATAGAGTGATTCAACGAAGAATAAGTGATTCAACGAAGTTGAATTAAATTTGCAATTGATGCATTTTGTACATGCATTCATGTAGTGGTCATAGCAACATACTAGTTACCAGGTTCCTCTCTTCTTGTCTGCGGTAGACACTTTGGAACAAATCTTATATTTACTTCACCATATAATTTATATTTACCACGGTAGTATTGACTAGTTTATTGCATTCAATGAGACTCGCCTTGATTCAAGTATATTTAACGGTATGATTCACCTTAATGATCATGATATTACTAGAAAAGACAGATCAAGAAATGGAGGTGGAGTTTGTATCTACTTACGTAGCTCCATCGACTATATTATAAGACAAGATCTAATTCCCTCTGAATTGGAGGCTGTCTGTGTAGAAATTATTAAGCCACACAGTCGACCATTTCTTGTTACAACCATTTATAGACCACCCAATGCATCATCTGAATTCTTTGATCATTTTGAAAAATTAATTAAAGCCATTGATGATGAAAATAAAGAAATGTATATTCTGGGTGATCTAAACTGTGATATGCTTAAAACAGACAAAGATTCAAATTCTCCAACAAAGAAAATCAAAACATTGTATGAGTTGTATCAATTGTCACAATTGATTGATGAAGCTACCGGAGTAACTATGACAACCTCTAGTCTTATTGATCATATAGTCACCAATACACCAGAGAAAATTTCTGACTCTGGTGTTATCCATACTGGATTAAGTGACCATAGTTTGGTATTTGCAATAAGGAAAATTTATGTTGTCAAAAAACAAGAGAAGAAAGTTGAGATGAGAAATATGAAAAAATTTGATCATCAAAAATTTGTTGAGGATCTGAGGCGACAACCCTGGGAAAATGTATACTTCTTCGCTGAAGATCCTAACGCTATGTGGGAAATTTGGAAGAAATTATTCTTGGAGGTCTTGGATAACCATGCACCACTTCGACATAAAAAGATTAGAACAAAAAAAAGTTTCTTGGATTACAAGTGCTATAAAGCAACTTATAATCACAGGGGACAGATTAAAAAGAAAGGCCATTATTACAAACCTAAAGATAGACTGGTTAAATTACAAAACAACGAGAAACAAAGTTAATATTCAGCTAAGAAATGCTAAAAATAATTATTACTCCACTAAAATTTCTAATAAAAAATGCAACCCTAAAGAGGCTTGGAAAACTATAAACGATATACTTGGTAGGCAAAGCAAACCAACAGTAGTAAATGAGTTAAAATTAGGTGAAAATAGTTTGACAAATACCAAAGATATTGCGCGCGGAGGGCTTTAATAATTATTTTTCAAATATTGGCTCTGATCTAGCTAGCAAAATTGATACTCCAAATTTGAACTTTCAAACATATATTGAAAAAGCTAAATCAGAATTCAGTGCATTCCAGCCAGTCACTGTCAGCAATGTCTACCATCTTTTACATGGTCTTTCTAGCAACAAAGCCACTGGCGTTGATAAGATCTCCAGTAAAATTATTAAAATAGCTGCACTGCTATTTCAGATTCACTCACATATATTTTCAATCAAGCTATTATCCTATCCCTTTTCCCTCACGAATGGAAAACGGCTAGAGTAATACCTCTCTATAAAAATGGCCAACGAAACCTGCCAGGAAATTACAGACCAATTTCAGTTCTGCCTGTCATTAGCAAAATTATGGAACGAATTCTGTACGATCAGCTATACAATTATTTAACCAAATTTGAACTTCTGAGTGACTGTCAATTCGGTTTTCGTAAATTTCACTCTACAGCTACAGCATTACATGACTGTACAAATGATTGGTATATGAATTTAGACCGCAAAATGTTTAACCTGGTAGTCTTAATTGACTTAAAAAAAGCATTTGATACTGTCGACCATCAAATATTATTGAAAAAATTAGAGCTTTACGGAATAAAAGGACAAGCTCTGTCTTTTCTAGAATCATATCTCTCAAATAGAAACCAAAAATGCCAAATGCAAGGATCTGTTTCATCAGAGAAATTGATCAAATGTGGCGTACCACAAGGCTCTATTTTAGGGCCCCTATTTTTTCTGTTATACATTAACGATTTGCCTCAATGCCTGGATAAAACAAAACCTCGGTTGTTTGCTGACGATACGAACCTGACAGTTTCTGGAAACTCTATTACTGATCTTGAAACTGCAGTGAATTCTGATTTGGAAAAACTTAGGAAATGGCTAATTGCCAATAAACTTAGTCTAAATGTTGCTAAGACTGAGTTTATGTTAATTGGTTCAAAACAAATGATAAAAAATATTTCAAATTTGCAACTAAATGTGAAAATTGAAAACGAGTCAATTAAACAAGTTTATGAATCCAAAACTCTTGGAGTGACAATTGACCAGCATTTATCTTGGAAAACTAACACTGAGAATATTTGCAAGAAAATTACATCTGGAATATCGGCTCTTAGACGTTTAAAAGAATTTGCTGATAAGCAAACACTTCTTTCTGTATGTAATGCTATTGTTCGCCCATATTTCGATTACTGCTGTGAAGTATGGGATGTGTTTGGAGAAACGCAATCAAAAAGACTCCAAAAACTACAAAACAGAGCTGCTCGGATTATTTTGAATATGAGCAATGACATAGATCACTCTGTTGCATTGCAAGCATTGGGTTGGAAGCCACTTAAAACAGAAAGGAAGAAAAGTAAAGCAAAAATCATGTACAAATTATTGAATAAAATGGGACCCAAATCACTCAGTAATCTCTTCACATATAAGGGTGAGGTGACAAACTACAAACTTCGGAACATTTCAAGTAGTCTTTGTTTACCACAACCGCGTACTAATAATATGAAAAAAAGTTTCGTGTATGACGGAGCACACCTTTGGAATTCTATTCCTAAAGAAATAAGAGAGAGCAAATCCTTTTCTTCCTTTCGAAAGAAAATCACTACTCACATTGACTGATAGCTAATTAACATAGATGTTAATATTATCTGTATATAGATTACTACCTTAGTTTGTTAGTTCATATAATACTATATATCTTATATAATTTTGTAAATAGTTTTAAAATTCTTTTCTGTATACTTTTCGCACGCCCCTCGTGGAAATCAGCTTCGGTTGACGAGGTCAGCGTGTTTAAATAAAGTTTATCGATCTATCTATCTATTTCAGCTGATTATCTATTGTTTTTAATGCGTTCGGCACACGAGAAGAGCGACGTCTGAAACAGGCCTAAGTTGAATGTTTATGCCGAACATAAGCTGAATGGTTATGCCGTTGACTGTCTTCGGCATAACCATTCAACTTGGATGGTCATGCCGTTGACTGTCTTCGACATGCAGGGTAATGCGGGGCAAAATGAGACAGTGGGACACTCCGACTCATTCGCGCTTATATGACGTTCTATTTAATTATTTATACCATAATCATCGCAGGCTCATAACAAACATTTTTGCTTGTGACCTATGTGACTGAACCACTGAGCTGTATAATAACTGGAGGACCTGCTCCTATACTTCGTTCAGTCAACCAAGTGAAGCCAAAAACATGGCGGATTTTGAGTGAAAATGACGCCATTTCCATGACTACTGGTCCCTAAATTCATGGTATTTGCCACTGAACAAGGCTCAATTGTGAGCCCGCCACAGTTTTCACCCCCCCTGGTTTCTGAAAAAAATATTTCGGATTTTTGCAGTGAATTCTTGTTGTTTTGTTATTTTCGACATATTTTTTCCACGTTTGACCATTTGTTCAAGGATGTGAACGTCGTACACGTTATTCTCGTCCGTGAAAGACAACAAACAACTATTAAAACCTCCCAAAATGTGGACAAAAACGATATTTCAAGCCGGGCTATAAACAGCAGTCTATAAACATGCAGTCAACTATAAACAGGTAAACATTTTAAAATTCACATTTTTATTTTAGTATTTCATGAAAAAATGTTAGGAATAAATGGTAAAATGTACTCTATTTTTTTAGAAAATAAGCCACAAGTGTTTATAATGTGGTTGTAGATAAACCTTTTTGTATTTAGGCTATTTACTGTATTAACTTTATGCAATGTTTCATTCCTCGCAATATCGAGTTGCACAACAGTACATGTATGATGAAACTATGATGTTCTGGTGTATTAAAGAGGAAATTAAGGTTTTATATATTTAGCCAAGGGTTTTGTTATGCATGAGCTTGTGGTGAACTGGTGCAGGAAAAAGCTCAGCTGCCTGAGGGCCAGCTGAAGTGAGAAGGCATGTTTTATATCCAGAATTGTACATTGTAGTTTTAATATGTGCTCTCTGATTGTATTGTATTGTATCATTTGTATGATAGTTTGTTGTATGTGTCTTTTAAAGGCCATTAGCTTGTTTGCCCCATCCCTCAAATATTAAGTTAATTGTGAGTCTCTAGTTTTGCCATATTGCAGTAAGCGAGACTTCACTGTGTTGTTATTTTAATATTTTTATAGTGGAAATTCCTTTCAATTTGCATGGATAACCTGGCTCAGTTTGAGATCTCACTTGAACAAGACAAGACCTCTAAATGTTAGACAAGATAGTTACTAACCTGACTGACTTGGTCAAAATGAAGTCAAAACAACAAAATTGGTCATGAAAATAGTGTCAAAACAATAGAGATGCAGAATTTTCCAACAATGCATGAGTCCATGCCAC